GCATCGAGTTAATAATGATAATGATATACTATACTTGTAGTCCATATCATCAATTTTGTATGACTGCTCTGCTGTCTTTTTCTATCTTTTTTGCCTTTTTATGTGAATATGTCTGATGATAGTGCATGATGCCATTAAACTGTAAGAAAATCTTATTTGAAAAGAATGTTCTTACATTAAGTTGGAGCTTTGTAAGAACCAAATGTGACAAATTGATGATGTCATTTTAAGTCGATTTTAAGTGATTTTAAGTACTGTTAGGACAATGAAGTTATACCATAGTCATAATGTACATGTACATGTAGGCATGTCTTTGGTTAGTTTTACCATAGTCATAATGTTACATACATGTAAGCATGTCTTTCGCTCTTAGCATGCTGGTTAGCTGCTTTAGTTATAGTTATTTATTGTTAAAAATGTAATGTACTCTTATGTGCCTTGCTGGTCCACTCTGTTGCTCTAATGTGTAATGTACACCCATTGAGAACTTGTTTACATTAATAATGAATTTATCTATTGTAGTAACAATTAATATTGTTATTAAAAATTGAAGTGAGAAAAAATTTATCATTACAACATTATAGAATAATACAATAACTTAAAAACAAAAGACTGTAGAGCTAGTCAACTTTGTAGAAGTAGTACTCTCACCCATAATTTTATGGACCTATTAAGGTACACGTATATATAACACTATATTTGATACACATAAATCTATATGTATCTAGACACACTGAAACAGGTGGGGTGATGCTTGTAAAAATGCTCACAAGGCAAAACTAAAAAGTTTGCCATGATGCATGTTGCATTCTAGTGATACATGTAAATAAACATAAATGAAAAAGTAGAAATGTGTTGTAATATTACAGAATTATCACTACTGTACCTCTCATGAACATACTAGAAATGGAGAAAAAACACGACTCATGTAAAGTTGTACATGGTGTATGAAAATAAATAAACAAGGAGTGTAGATATCACAACTAAAACCTTATCAATGCAGCAAATACAATATAGAATTATGACTTGCGACTAATGAAACTGATTTTATACAATCATGACTGCTATGAAACATCACCATGAAGCTGTTGTAGGTCAATTCAAAAATCATTTTGCATGTTGTATAGTTCTGATTTTTTCAATGCTCTTTTTAAGGTTAAGTTATAGCCATTAATGGATACATGCATGTTTCCTAAAATGCTAGCTGGTGAAGTACTCCTCCCATAAAAATGTTTTTCACACACACACTTATGAACCATAATAAATTATGTCGTTCATTCTAGGATAGTTGATAAATAAGTAATAGTAAGCCACTATTTCTGGTTTCTTGTAGTTTCATTATTTCCCCAATATCTAGAAATTTGTATATTTGCTAAAGTAACTATAATAATACACAATACTAGTACAATATTTGTCCATACTGTCTATTTTGTATAACTGCTCTGCTCTTTATCTTTTCTTTTTGCACTTTTATCTGGATGTGTTGATGGTGCATGATTTCATTTAATTGTACAAAAAATTGCAATTTGAAAACAATGTTATTACATCATGGATATTAGAGCAAGGAAAGGGATTGCAAACGCCTTATTATTGCAGTGGGGACAGGCGTTATGCAGTGAAGCCACCAAAGTTTAATTAATTTTGTTATTTTTTTAACCCTCATGTATCTAAACAAA